CTCTCCACGTCTCCTGGACCTGACGCGTGCCCAGCACACCAGCGGGGATCGGTGAAGCTGTCATGGGCTGCGGCTCCGCAGGAGACCGCCCGGTGTTGTGTTAGAGTCCGGACAGAGTTGAGGTGCTCCGGGGGCCCGAGGCTCCGCTCACAGCCGCCCCGCAGCTCCACAGCCCGCGGTGATGTTAGCGCTGGGTCCGATGGACGGGTCCCGACAGAGCACCTTCCTCCTCAGCACGCCCCCTCTGGCTGCTCTACACAGCATGACCGAGATGAAGACCCCGCTCTACCCGGCCTATCCACTCTCCTCCAGCGGCCCCAACTCCTCCACCTCCCCGGCCACCACCTCCCCCAACCCGGGCGGCATGGCCGTGTCCTCCCCGGGCATCAAAAGCTCCACGGGTCTGTCCTCGGGGATCGGCTCCCCGCAGCAGAGCTCCTCCGCCACTCCGCACGGGATTAACGACATCCTGAATCGGCCCATTTCCTCCTGCTCCTCCTCCTCTTCCTCCGTGTCAGTGGCGGCAATTTTGTTTCATTTGACAAAAATTAAAATTATAAAATTAATTTCCTCAGTTGTTAAACGAACGGTGCATTAATCGAATTGACTCTTTCGATTGTTTGTTGTTTTATCGAAGTCGGTTCGAGTTTTCATCTCAATTTTATTTTTAATTTGCTGCTCAGTTTGTTTTCTCTTTCTCACATTTTCAAAACTTTACGGTAATTTCAGGCAGATTTACCTTGGTGAGATGTTTGTTTCTTTGAAATAAAACAAATATTCGGAAATATTTATTATATTTTTTTACGATATTGTTAATGTCAGAAATAAGAAGATTGATTTTTATATTTCACTGCGGTTTAATCTTGATCCTCCGGAAACCGTTTGATTTATGTTACAAACCAATACATTGAATTATAATCCAATCATCTGGTCACGTTTGTCTTTATTTATTCCTTTTATTATTTTTTATTTTTCTACAATTACAGATCAAATCATTCCAGATGAATTCAGTAGAAACGGGAGTTTTCCATCATTTTAACACCGGCCTCGTTCATCCTTCACTGACACCACATTAATGTCACACAGAAAACTGTCACAGGAGACGGTGTTAACGCGGTATTTAACGCAGTATTTAACGTAGTCTTTAACGTAGTCTTTAACGTAGTATTTAATGCAGTATTTCTACTTCTAAATCTGTGGCGTTTTCCACGTGTTTTAGTCGTTTTTTCTTTTTAAATTTACGAATAATTAATTAAACCTTCATTAAATGTATGTTAAAACGAAGACATTATTGACATTTTTCTAATTAATCAAATCATTAGTTTATTTCTGGAACGTTCTCTAAGGTTTTAAACATTTTCTCAGTCAGATCCTGGAATTGACTGAACGGGAAAAATTTAAAAAAAGGAAATTTTAAATGTTTTTATTGTAAATTCAACAGTAAAAAATTCAAGTTAAAGTTTGGTGAAATATGAAAATATAAAAAAAACACAAGCAGTGATTTTCAAACAAAATAAATAAAACTGAATAAAACAAAGAATTGGATTTGGTCACGTGACCATTTATAAAAAAAATTAAAATAAATGTATTAAAATAAATGATCCAAAGAAAAAGGAAGTGAAACAAACAGGACGAACTGACGGGATCTGTGTGTGTGTGTGTGTGTGTGTGTGTGTGTCAGGTGTGGTTCCAGAACCGGAGGACCAAGTGGAGGAAGAAACACGCAGCGGAAATGGCCACAGCGAAGAAGAAGCAGGACTCGGAGACGGAGCGCCTGAAGGGGGCGTCAGAGAACGAAGAGGACGACGACGACTACAACAAACCTCTGGATCCGAACTCTGACGACGAGAAGATCACGCAGCTGCTCAAGAAGCACAAACCCGGCCCGGTCCCAGGTGCGGGTCCGGGTCCGGGTCCGGGTCTCCTGATACACACGTCGGAGAACGACAGTTCGTAACCGAGTCTGTGGACGTGTGACGTCACGCTCGGAACGGCTGCGTCCACTGGCCATAACGAATGACAGACATCAGGACCGATGGACATAAGGACTATAGCTGGGG